CTGTCGACTATTAGGCCCCTACAGGCCTAGGCCTAACTAAGTAAAATTAGGATGAAACATGTATTCATGGTGATACTCCAAAGTCAATTAAAAACCAAGAAGTACATGCCTAGGAGTAAAGTTTGGCAGAGATCCTGTGATGTATTAATATCGTTTTAAATATAAATAAATTGAGGCCTGTATCGATTTTGATTCGGTTCGATACATAAGAAGCTATCGTTTCCACAATATAATTTTGTTATTTGAATGTGTGTCGAATTGAGCTAAATTATTGATTTTCAGTAAATGAAATTATCAATACAATGCAAGTATTGATAAAAATGCAAGCATTTTTGAAAAGGTAATTTGAAGTGTTTTTCTCAAGATTTTAATTTTACAAAAACAGTATGCAGGCGACATAAACTAACAACTCGATACATTATAACCTAAACTTTACCTTCCTAATCTAACCTAACTTCAAAACACTTAATGCAGTCACCAATTCGCATAAAGCACGACCTACCACCCTGACATGCCTAAATGAGAACTGTAATTTTACAGTTGCTTGTCGTGTGGTTGAAAACACTGGAGTCTAAACCTTCGCTAAATCATCACGATGTTGTCCCCTGGCGCTGCGGAGTGGGGGAAATGATTCTCCCTCCACCTCCCCTCTAGACGGCGTCCAAACAAGCCCGCGTTGTTTAACATGCATATCATATACCTATGCTGCAGTTTTTCAATAAGTTAAAAAATGAATATTTATAAAATTAAACTGTCATAAACTAACCTAACCAACCAAACATGCTGATTATATAAAAAATATATAAAATAATAATCGAATGAAGGTTTACTAATCAAAAAAATAGTTCTGTTCATAAAATAAAATTATAAATGCCTTGAATTCAATTTTAGAATTTATTAATTACAAAATTAAACTGTCATAACCTAACCAAACCAACCAAACTTGCTGATAATGAAAAATCGAACAAGGTTTACTAATAGAAAAAAAATAGTTCTAAAATTATAATAGCTCAAATTGAATTTTATAATGTTTTAATTAACAAATTAAACTGTCATAACCTAACCAAACTTGCTGATAATGCAAAAATCTTAGACAAAAAGTTAGTGCTACCGGTACCGAGAGGATTCGAACCTGGTACCTTCAGATCCTCAGCCCGGCACGTTATTCATTAGACCACCGAGGCCGGTGGCTATAAACCGTATCATTGCGGTAATGGTGTTCCCTCAGCCAATAGAATGCTTTGCTTCCCCCACTCCGCAGTGCCAGGGGACAACATCATGATGATTTAGCGAAGGTTTAGACTCTAGTGTTGAAAACAGTCAGCTGTAGGCTTAGTTAACCCACAGTTCATTCCATTTGTAAATGTTATCCATCCTACCTTGTTTATTGTAATGTTGTATATTTCTATGGCTATATCTTGAGAAATATTCATCAGCGGTGAAAAATAACAGTATATTTGGATTCAGGAGGTAAAAAAATATAAAGTAAGATATCAAAATTAAAAATTCGTTTGGAGGCACCTATACGGAATAAATACGTATCGTTTGGTTACTTAGGTAGGTAAGGTTAACCTAACCTAACTAACCAAACAATATATCGAATTAAACAATCGAATAATCAATATTAGCCTACTCATTTGGTTATTTGTGCCAACAGATATGGAAGTTTACCCACACAGGCTGCTATTCTTGTCTTAAGTACAGTAATTTAATTAGCCTACTGTTTTCTAGAAGCGGAGCGACACACATTGTTATTCGCTTTTCCGCAATCCGGGCCGAGAAAAACCTAGCTTAAGTTAAGGCCCAGAGATATAGGCTACCTACCTATCTAAGTTAAAGGCAAGAAGAAATTTATCTATATAAGGCCTAGGTCCTTAAGCTTAAGTTAATTGGACTGTAGAATAGGCCTAGGTAGGCCTAGGCTATTAGCCTACCTTTGATTGTACGCTACCCGAACACGAACGTTGTCAGTTTTGATAGGGCACACTCTTGTCAGTTTAAAATGGGCCAACACTTGAAAGATCATATCTCAACAATGACAATTAATTTTTAAACAACACAGTAATACTTATATTTCCTTCCTTGCCAATGGCCATGAATCCCTCAGATTTTCTTGGTTAATGCATCGAGCCTCTTTAACCTGGATCTAGTCTTTTAGTTGCGATTGACGACTGTAGTATCACAAACTACACTTCAAAGTGTAACCATAACACCCTAACTACTACAATTTAATTACTTTATTACTATTTAACTAACGGTGTTAACATCAACATAAAACTCAGCTCATCAGACAGCACCCAACAACACGAACACACAATCACGAAACGAATCACAACACAATCCAATCGACGACGACTCGACGACGACGATAAACAAATTTTGAAAAAAAGTGACTCTTTAAAAAAAAAATAGTAATAATTAGGCTGATATTATTCAAGCCTACTGAACAAACAACCATAACAACATGTAACTACCTAAATAATTTTATCGAATGTAAGTTAATAAATTTCGGTGGATATTTTTAAATCCGATATTTATTTCCACAGATAAATATTCTTTTAAATAGTTATAAGTTAGTGTAAAGCGTTCTTATGCGTAAAACTGTTTACTCCATGGATGAAAGAAATAATAGACAATTTGGTCTCTTTGTCTAAAGCAAGAAGCAAAATAACAAAATTGTTGCTCGTAAAATGTAAACAAAAAAAAGAAGAAGAAGATAGCTCCTAATGTTATTCTTATGGGGGAAAATTAAAATGGTTTTTTTAGGATTAAATAGTAATTACTGAACAAATATGCTCCAAAAACGATCCCCGGCATGATATTATACTATAGAATCTTTGTGCAAAACATCAAGTTGATAGATGTAATCGTTCTCGAGTTTTTGTAATCCATAGAGATGCTTTTCGTACCAGTATGAGAATTCACTTCGTTCATTCAATTATTATATTTAGTACGTCTATCATCTGCGGTTTTGTAAATAATAATGTGGTTTTGTTGTATTAATAGTCAAAGGTAAAACATAAAACACAAACTAATCCAGGTCTGATCAAGCCGCTGATATATTATTTAAGGAGACCAGAAAAAAGTTTCTATAACTAATTCTACCCATATAGTTTACTCGCCAAAACTTTATGGTTCCCGCTCAAAATCATAACCAGCACCAACAATTACATTTTTTTCGAAAGCCACTCAAAGCACTTTTTATATTTTTATACAAACGATGAGCCCCCATACCACCCACCCATAGACTAGTTGATACTGTGCGCTTAAGGATTTGATTCTCAAACGTCATTTTCCGTTATTTAGGAGGTGGCAACTTTGATGAAACGTCGTGTCAAACGTGAGTTGGTGGTGGTTTGTATTTGTTGCTGGGTCTAGACATTAGTAGTCACGCACGCATTCTGTACCATTTGCATTAAGATTACCAATTCAGCAGTCAAAGATGTTGATACAGGACGTGATATGTTTATCCTGTCTCGCTTGAGGAAGTTCTTGTTTACTTGGAGTGTCAAAGTTCATATTTAAAGATACCAGAATGTTATCGTCAAAATGGATATAGGAAACCAAATAAACCAACAGATTTGGCAAATGCCTAATGTTCTGCACGATTGGTCTATCTTAATTTCCTCTGACCGCGATGTTATAAAGGAAATGTCTCCACAATAATGTTTAGTTGTATCGGGGAAGATTAAAAATAAAACCAATGCGTATGCGTAGACTACATTTTGCTAAAACTAAATGTCGCGTTTTAAGGTAATTTATGCTTTTAGCCTATATTAAAATACTGTGAACTCGTAAGAAATTGAATACAGTACTGTAATCTGTAAATTAGGATTTTAATTTAGCAGTCAACCGGTGGTTTTCCATGCATTTTTACAGATACAAGTTTTGAAATAGAATTAATGTCTTCATTAGATTGCATTATTCCAAAAAAGGTAAAAAAGATTTCATTGCCATGAATGGTTTGTTGATTTAATGTGTATTGAACTATTTATATTGTTGGATACAATGAAGACAATGATTTTATTTGGCCAATCAACAATATTGTTACAGGCTATGTCAGTGTACACGCATAATGTACAAGCATAAAATAAAATAAATATCAAGAGTTAAAAATCAAATAAAGCAAAAATCTATCAAGACCAACCATGTGCAAAAAAAAGTGTTCAAGACCATGCACAAAATAATACAAAGCAAACCAATTCGTGCAAAATGCATGCACTATGCAAAAATAGGAAACAGGCTGTTCAGGGGAAAACTTACTTAACTATAAATACAGTGTCAAAAAAACTCTTTAAATTTGAAAAAAAAGGATTTTCAATCAGCCAGTCTAATATTGCGGTTTGGAAGTTCTTTCTTTCCAGATTTATCACATGACCAGGAAGGTGATTGACAGAATTCATAGAAATGGGTCTCCAAATGTTTGTAAAACATTAATAATCTTTTCACAAACGTCGACAAACTTTGTGTAGCCATCCCATTGGAATGACATTGAGTTTCAAACTGATCAGAAGAATAGTCAAGTTTTAAATAAGTGTTTCAAATCACAGCTTATACCACGCTGATTCCTTTCCGTGCGTTTATTTTGAACGACAATTCCATCGATATGTGTTTAATTTTTTTTACTAAAAACTTTTGTTCTTAAACAAGATAAAAAATAAAGGTGTATCCAAGCAGATGGCATTTGTTCCAATAGTAAAACAGAATTTAGGTAAAATAAAAGAAGGCACCGAGGAAGTTATTTAGTCAAATTTTCATAAATAAACAGCGTCAAGATATTGTCTATACAAACTGAAACGTCTGCCGAGGCTGTGCTGAATTGAATCAGGAATTTACGGTATACGTTTATGATTGGTAGGTAAATAAAATTACGCAAATCAGCGTAGATTTGCGCTACCGCTACCCCATATATTATCTTGTAGAGCAATCACCAAAAGCATAATCAGGTATCTTAAACGTGTTCGAGCGTTACACTTTATGTTACTACTGTAGTGACTCACTTGCCAAGTGCCGTATCCCACCATGGGCATGTGTCCGCCGCTAGCCAGTCGTGTGTAATCCATGGTGCACACTGCTCGGGGACCAATGCTAGACTGTAGACTGACTCAGTTACACAAGGCCCGTACTCTCACCAGTCTCCAATGTCAGTCTTATCGATTATGTTCCATTCAGCCAAGACGCTCCTTGAAAAAGGTTACAATAACTGCTTCCAAACACTTACCGACTGACTCAGTGGCAGTTGCATAACACAGTGCAAATTGCGGTCGCGTGCACAACTAAAACACTGGAACTCTTCACACGTTTTCCTCAATAAAAGCTAATATAACAATTAGCAGTGCATCGATTTGATGAAGCTTGATTGAACTAAGACTACTCTTAAGAATTAGGGATCGCTAAAGTGGTGGACCCAATGGGTTCAAAAAAATTTCCGAGTTGCGGTGACAGCTTTCTCAACAGGTGTTTGCTCTTGACGCATTTTTTCTGAATCTGTCACCAGACGCGTACTTGTAGCTGGTGAAGTTAAAAATTTACAAACTTCTCGTATTTTCAAAAAAATCATGCTGTTGTTTGTTGAACAGAATTTGCTGTTTTCGTTTGCTACTGTATACAAAAAATACCCCCACCGCATCAAATCTGCAGAGTAAGCGAATTTCCATTTGCCTGATTGGATTTACATTAAAAAATCTCCTTAAAAATATCACATTTGAAGGGGTGAGTCGATGAAGGGGGTAAGTAACATTTTGTTACTTTTGAGATAAATTGACCTAAAGTTTGCAGGTTATAACTTTTTAATTTTTAAAATTTTTTAATTCTTCAAACGTTATTAGGAAGGGCAGAGAAGTAAAATTTGTTGCACAATACTTAATAGAAATTTAAAAGTTCCTTACTATTAAAGTTTTAACTTTTCTATTACTTACCTCCTTTATCCACTTAAAAAATTGTTTCGTAGTGGAAGAAGGGGTTAAGTGATGTAAACGATTAAAATAAATTATTTTGGGGGGAAAATACTTTATTTCAACATGTCACCATAAAAAGTACATTTAAATAAGGTTGTTGCACCAAAATAAACTTAAATGTAACAAGTCAACTTACTTAAAGTCTTTATCATAGACTTTATGTGCTGACTTTTAATTTTGTCCCAAAAATAGTAACTAAAAGCCAGTTATGCTTAAGAAATACCAAAATATTAAAAATACCAAATATTTTTTAGATGTGCAAGTAATAACTGTCTTTTATTAGATGCTTATCAGTCTTATCTCTGCAATTTTTCTAAGAAATATTTATTTTTCATGTACAACTAGTGTACCTGTTGCTCGAATTCGAGGAATTGCGAAGCATTACAGGCGACTCACGAAGATTATGGAAATACTCACGATCTACACAACAGTTAGATATGATCAAAATCTTTTGTGAATATCTTATCTTTTCTCAAAAAGCTGATCTTGTTTTTTAGTGTTTCTACAAATTTTTCCCTCTCATAGCCGCATTAGGTTGTCTTAAGTAACGATTATAAATGAAAAAAAACATTATTTCTTTTCTTCTACTTGGTTGTGTTCTATGACTTTTTCTATGTTTCCATTGTTTGCAAATCGGTTATTTCAATGATTGCTCAAAAAATGTAGTATATTGTTAATTGAGTTTTATTTTTAGCCTATATTAAACTGTCCAGGATTTCTCGCTTTTTGCCATTGTAATAATTTCACCAACCCAAGTTTCGTCTACAGATGCAATACGCCAAAGAATATCACCTACGTACAATCTCCAAGAAGTGGTAAAAAAAGGCTGAAACCAAGCCATACAATAGATATAAGTTAACTCCATATAAGAAATAATTTTAAGAGTTACTGTGATGTTAGGATTTTCCAATGATTTGGTAATAGAACATTATATTGCATTATTTTTGTAAAAAAATACAACCGACTTCAAACGCTCTAAAAAGAATGAAATAATTTCAATAAAGCAAACTTTTGTATTAGGCAAGCTCACGTATTTTAAGTCGGCGCGGCTCTATGATGATTTTTGATACAAAATTGAAAGAATGTGTCCATATTGCATGTGACTATAACTAAAGGTGTTAATCTGCATGTCTTTTTCATAGTTATGCGTTAAGTGTTATTTTATTACCGTAATCAGAGATCGGCATTATAGTGGTATTAACGAGTATCTTTAAAAAGATTATAACTCATTTAAATGTTTCTAACTTGGAAAAGTAACGTTTTAATACTAAACTAGCTTCTTTTCCCTCATAATATCAAACTAAATTATTTTCCTATTCATATAGAACATTTGTGTGTGTTATTTTCATAATGCATTTATTCTGAAGTAAACATAAAATACAAGAAAATATTTCCTTTAATTTATAAACAAAACAGTTCAGTGTGTTTTTTATATATTTATGTTATCCAGCTACAATTTATTGATTTTCAAAATACACATACAATATTTAATTTCAATTTGCAGTTTGAGCGCCGAAATACTACGAAATATTTTCCTTTGAAATACGTGAGCTTGCCTAATACAAAAGTTTACTTTATTGAAATTATTTCATTCTTTTTAGAGCGTTTGAAGTCGGTTGTATTTTTTTACAAAAATAAATTATTTCATGAGTTTTAGTGACTGTATAATTTTTTATATATTAATTACCTGAGGTTTTTTCATAAGCAAAACTGTTTGAAACAATCAAAAGTTCCACAGATCAATCATTATTTTAAAACTGCTTGAGTCACCTGTTAAGGTTACATAATCAATGGGTATGAAAATAGACATTTTTAGATATTCCTTTCAGAAAGAAAGAGTAAGTAAAAAACTAATTGTCTTTTCTAGATACATTGAAATGTCAGACATCATCGTTTCCTGCAATCGGTGTACTTCTACATTATAAAAAGAAATACAGTAACGTCTCAAGCCTTTTGGAACAATATGAAAGTTATTCCTCAGCTACCAGTACTAAAAAATCTCTCAAAAGTGGAAAATCGGTCGTTAACACGTATAGTACCTTTGGAAAATATTATATGAAAGATTGGTTCAGCTAAAAGTGGTGTAAGTCATGTAGGGGGTTTTGTTTGCTCAAGATATAGCCTAGTCGAAATTGCAAATCATCTTCCTCTAGGACTTTCCGAAGCAGGCATAATAGTATTGACTAGTGGCTTGTAGGGGCAATAGCCCCTATATATATATTCTAGTAAATATTTTGTACAAATTATTAGTCTCATGGGTTACCCTACCTTGAATTATCGTTTAACATTTTTGTATATTATAATATGTATAAAAGTTATTACATACCTGCATAATGCAATTTTTTGATGTCTGTTCTGTTTGAAATATAGATTCCAAAGGACTGTTCATGTAGTGTGTTTATAATACAAACTTTCTAATCATGATATACATCTAAGGAAGATTTTCAATAATAATCTTCATGACTATTAATTAAATATTTATCAATTCCTTTGAATATAGACAAATTCACTTAAATAAAACACATAGAGATAATGTCATCCTCCAAATTGTATAATGCTAATTATAACAAAATCTCTCTAAAAACAACAGAGTATAGTATCCATTTTAATCGAATCTTTGGTCTTTATTTTGTTCTAGTACTATTTTAACATCATCTGGCAACTTTAACCGGCTAAAAGCTACATAAAGTTGACCATGGGTAAACACGGGTTTTTTTCAAATAAATGCCAACTTTTTGAAGGTTTGGCCTTGCGCTTTATTTATAGTAATATCGAAAGCTAATCGCAATAGGAATTGAATTCCTAAACTTAAACGGCATATTAGGATCTTTAGATGTTAGTTTTATTTTTGGCATGAAAAATATGTTCCCTTTGCCTACTCCAGTAATTACTTCTAACTTTACACTTTTTTCAGACATACCTAACACAACTAATCTTATTCCATTAACTAATCCAGACCCTGGAAAAAGTCTATATTTCAGCTTTATAATAGTATACATATTACAGTACATATTACCATATGCTTTAAATTAAATAAACCACATGTTTTTAAGTAACCAAAGCAGACATGACCTGGATTCCCATGTTATTTAAATGTAAATTATTTTATTACGTAACGACCTTTTGGTGCATAATTAAGAAAAATGAATAATTTTCCCCAAAACTTCATGCCCAGACCTTTAAAATGAGACCTCTCCCAGCTTTCTACGGCCTCCCGTTCGCTCACAATTTCATTGTAAAATTTTGGGCTTACGGAATTAGATATATAGATATGTTATAGTAACTGGGTAGAGAATATTAATAAACATTCCACATCTGCAAATGAAATATGTATATGAAAGGTTGGTTCAGCTAAAAGTGGTGCAAGCCATGTAGGTGGTTTTGTTTGATCAAGATATAGCCTAGTCGAGATTGCAAATCATCTTCCTCTAGGACTTTCCGAAGCAGGCATAATAATATTGATATGATATAGTAACTGGGTAGAGAATATCAATAAAAATTCCACACCTGCAAATGCATGTTTAGTAATTAAAATATTTAACACTTTTAAGACAATTGACGATTATGCACTGTCACACTTCTTAGGTCGTGTAAGGAATAATTGCATTTAATTTATATTTAGACCTGTTTTACGAATGCTTTGGTTTTCACAATACACCTTTATTTGTCAATATCATACAGCTATTCACTGAAACATATATGTTTTTGTAAGTCAGAATATTCAATACTAAAAACAGAATTACTGTATACACAAATCAGGTCAAACGTTAAAATACATGTTTTATAGTAACCAAAACAAAATGCATTTTTCTCAATGTAATTCATTTAGGCTCCATGGCAAGAAATATTTTATTGATCAATATGAAGCAACTGTTTCAAGAAGAATTGTCTGTAGCTTCATTTAAATGGTTTCAACTAACAGCTGTAGGAATGTTATTATTATTTTTCCTACAGTCACCCGACAAAGTAGGCTTCCCTGTACTGTTTATAGTACAGAAAGCTGCTAATTGCTGCATATTTATACTTTGCCGTACGGTTTATACTTTTCCGTACGGTTTATACTTTGCCGCACATAAGGATTCCAACGAAACAACACAAAACAGCGTGGTTTTATTATGCACGTAATCCGTGTACGCTTGGAAATAGGTTGGCAACACTTAAAGATAATAATACTATGAGCAGCTGATTGACTATTATAACTACGATTTAACCTGTCATTTCGTGTTTATAGTTTCGGCATTTCTGAACTTTCTGGACTTCTTTTAAACGTTTTGAAAACATTCCTACGATCTTAATAAACAAGAAAATACCTTTAAAGCATTTTTTAGGCGCGGAAACCACTTCAAATTACAAAAAACATACGGAACTATATTCTCAAAACGCGGAGCACATTTCTTGCCGAGGAAAAATAGCGGAGTGATACGGACCTCAGGTACTACTTTCTCTAGGGCACCATTTGTGTTGCCAGCTGAACCTAAAAACGTGTTGTATAGTGTTTGAAAGACAAATTATTTATATGATTTATAGTGACTGTAGGAAAAATATAATGTGTAACACGAGTGAAAAAGGCCTTTGCTGCACTCGAGATCATTCCGCACTTGCCTGCGGCTCGTGCGTAAACATTGCTCTCGTGTGCAGCAAAGTGCCACTTTCACCACTAGTTACACAAATAACTATTTCGCCTTCTCTGCACAAATGTAAACAATCTGCACAAATGTAAACAAAATAAATGTTGAATATTTAAGGTTTTCAGAGTTTTCACCGAAACAAATATTATACTTAAACATAATATATAAGGTACCTAATAGAAACTCTCCTGGTTATTTTGGTGGTGGAACCACACTGATCGGTAAAAGAATCACAGAGAAATTGGTGAACATACATAGAAAAAAAAAAACATCGCCACAAACAAATTGAGAACCTCCTCCTTTTGTTGGTGGTGGGGAAGTCGGTTGAAAACATGACACGATGCAGAATAAAATCAATTTTAAAATCAGAAAAACCCATTGCAAATACTGTACTTCATTTTGAAAAATTCAATAAATCACAATTTAAATATTAACAGCTGTTTCATTAAAAAGTAGTGTAGAATTATGCATATGGTAAACAAATTTGAAGAGGCAACTTTAAAGGCTTCTGGGGCAGAGCCCCAAGGGAATTTACCTCGTTCCTCTTTTGATGGCTCATCTATAGACGAAGACCTTTCTTTAGAGACCCCTACCAAGTTTCTACGCCCAGCAGTTCTCTCAAATTAGCTGGGACAAAAACCCAGTGTTTCCTCCATAAGAATAACATGGGATGGGAATTCAAAGGCCACTGAGGCAGAGCCCCATGGGAATTTACCACGTTTCTCTTTTGATGGCTCATCTACAGACCTGTCTTTAGACACCTCTACCGAGTTTCTACGCCCAGCCGTTCTCTCAATTTAGCTATGACAAAGGAAAACAGTTTCAAATTAATATATAGATCTTTTACTTCTTGGAAGCAGTTACGTCCTATCAAGAATAGCTAACAACTCGTTGAACTAAGTGGGTCCAATACGGTCACGGTCCGATACATTTAAAAAACACACTAAAATGCAAATAGGTAATGTCATAGACTAACAAACACAAGTGTTTTATCTATGTTAATGTTCAAGGTAATTTTCATTGTCAGCTGTTTTGGATATGATGTTAGCTGCAGTACGTGCTACTATTGCCTAACAATAAGGGGGTAAGTGCAGGGGACAAGTGCGCAGAGTTATGGATGAAGGGTGTAAGTGAAACTTAAAAGAGGATGAAGGGGGCAAGTGAAGCACTTACCACCTTTATACACTCCATTTGGGTGCATTTCCTGTACTTAACCCCTAAGTTAAAAAATTACTCAGCTGTTATTATACTTAGGACTATGGGAGTCAGTGTACTAAATAGAGCATCACTTACACCCTTCATCCATGCATCTAACTCAATTTTTACAAAATTGTTACTTGCCCCCTTCATCCACTCAACCCTTAATTTATTCCCTATTTAAATAAAATTAGTTTAACGAGTACCTAGGTTTGCTGCAATAGGGAGGGTAAAAAGTGTTTTTTTGTAAAATGTCGATAGTTTAGGATAAAATGAATGTATTTTCCGAATTTGATCAAAATATGCTCATAAACAAGCAAACTACAATATTGAAACTGACAAAAGCTGCAAACACAACAGATATCAAAGCATTCACCCGACTATGGTCAGACTAACCTCACCCGCCGAACAACGCAGACACCAATAGCCCCTGGCGAAATGCATGGTTAAATTTGTGCCGGAACTTAAGCTAAAAATAAGTTGTGTAGGTACTGAAAAATGGGCTTACAGTTCATCCTACAGTACATCTTATATCAGGCTGCAGGTGAAAGGCGTTTTTATAGAATGCTAAAGCAAACATCATTGGTTTGTATATATCAAAATGTGAGAGTCTTCGTTTGCTTCAAAGAGATGTACGGTAGCGTAGAACATCTCATAATGTAACTCAATTTTAAGACCACACACTCTGGACGAAACTAGTATTTATGCGTGTATAATTTTGTAAAAACTGCAAACAAAAGAAGGCGATAACAAGAGGGTCGTTGTATTGTGATCCATATTGTAACATTGCGAGTTATTGTCTGGAGCAAATGTTCAACAAATAGTGATTGTAGAATTTCGGTAGCGTGTGGAGTGGACTGTATTTATAAGTTAAGCGGAGTTTGATTCTTCAAATTAGAACACTGAGATACAATTGACAAATATGTAGTTTTAATATTAACAAATAAACTTTCAACGATTTTACAGAACTTTAAAGAGAGATTACAAAAGAGAGAGGGATCTTGAGTCTTGATGTGTTTGTTTTTTTTTCAACTAACAAAATTACTAATAAATTATTTCATTGTTAAATCACATATGTTGTTTTAAACATTAAAACAAATTAAAAACCAATGCCATCTGTATTTATTTTTAGTTGATAGAAAGCATTATTATAACAAAGTTAATTATACTGAATATTACTGAACATACCCCCGCCCGTGAACCACTAAGAGGGGTTCACCTAATAATTGAGAAAAAAAAAATTATTTAGAAATGAACATATTTACAACATACTTTTGGTTAACAGTCTAACTTCTTTCGTTATCATGCATCATTGATTGGTAGGGGTGAGACTTTAGTTATAGGTCTGGAGAGTGTTCCTGATGAAGTTTTTAATTGTACAACTCGTACAAGACCATCTTGCCCTGGGGAGGTTGAAATGACACGTTCCATTTTCCATGAAAGGGGAGGTTGGTTTGGTTCATGCAATAGGACAAGATCTCCAATTTTGATGTTAGGTTGAGGACTTCTCCATTTCCCTCGTTGTTGCAACGTGTAGAGGTATTCTTTTTGCCATCTTTTCCAAAAACTTTGGGTTAAGGCTTGAACAAACTTCCACCTTGACAATCTGTTTGTTGAGACATCATTTAATTCAGGTTCAGGAAGAGATAAAAGAGGTCCTCCAATCAGAAAATGACCTGGAGTTAAGCAATTTTTGAAGCGTAAAATGTAAGCGATGACTCGCTGGAGGGTTGACCAAGATGAAAACCTGTTGAATAAGTCTGGTTTTTGAGTTGTAAACATTATTGGTAAAGGTTCGGCCTTACGTTCTGGCAGTTGTTCGTCTTGGAGAGGGGTGAAGCGAGGAATAGGCCACGACTCCTGATCCAGAGTTAACCCAGAGATAATCCAGAGATCGGGACCGTTCTACCATAAACTGTTGTCTTTCATAGAAACGGAAAGGGTTTCTCTACTGGCAATGTCAGCTGGATTACAATGAGTTGAGACATGTTTCCATATGTAAGTAGGAGTAAGTTCCTGAATTTCAGAGACTCGATTTGCAACATAAACTTTTAAGCGGTAGGGTACAGTTTTTATCCATGACAAGACTACAGATGAATCACACCAAGCATGTAATTCGTTGACAAGATAATCTTGAGAGAGTAGACAGTTGCAATAGTTCAGGAGTTTGGACAAAAGATGGGCACCACACAATTCTAGTCTAGGGATGGAGATCTTCTTAAGATGAGCAACTCGAGCTTTGGCAATTAACAGATGTACGTTGATTTCTCCGGAAGAACTTACACATCGCAAGTAGACACACGCTCCGTAACCTGTTTCAAACCCATCACAAAATCCATGTAAACTGATATGAACAGCATCAGCTACGGAAACATATCGAGGTAAGCTAAGTTCACTTAAGAAAGGAAGTTGTTGGAGGAACTTAGACCATTTTTCAGTTAGATCCGGAGGTACAGGCGCATCCCATGATAAACATAGTGCCCATAAAACTTGTATCAACGCTTTTACCCAAAGAGTGACTGGAGTCAACCAACCGTTTGGATCAAATATTCTGCTAACTGTTCCAAGTATACCTCGTTTAGTGGGAGGTGTGTCTGGGATATTCAACTGATAAGAGAAAGCGTCTGAGTTAGGTGACCATTTTATACCTAGTACCTTGAAATAAGGTTGATCTGAGGAGTTGAAATATAGAGGAGTTTCTTTGTAAGAGTCGGGAAGAGTTTCCATGATTTGAGGGCAGTTGCTAGTCCATTTCCTCAGTTCGAAACATCCTTTTAAGAGAAGTTGTTCCACCTCATTTCTTAGTACCAAAGCTTGTTTTATGCTGTTGGCACCTAAAATTAAATCATCTACATATACTTGTTTCTTTTAAGCCTCAGCTGCCAGAGGGAACTTTGCGCCTTCATCGATGATAAGTTGGTGAAGTGTCCTTAGTGCCAAGTAGGGTGAACAGTTGAATCCAAACACAACCGTAGTTAAACGGTAAACTGAAAGGGGGTCGTCTTTGTCATCTCTCCAATACAACATTTGATAGTTTCTATCATCTGGGTGGATCATTATTTGACGAAACATTTGTTTGATGTCACATGAGAAGACAATAGGGGAAAGTCTAAACTTTAACAGAATATCATTAAGATCATTATGTAGTTTTGGCCCGGTATGTAGAATATCGTTAAGGCTGACACCTGAGGAGCTGCGTGCGCTTGCATCGTATACTACACGAAGCTTGGTGGTTGAGGAATCTACTTTGACAATAGCATGGTGAGGTAAGTAAAATTGTTTATTATCACTGTTTGGAGGAGGGTTAACAGGTTCCATGTGACTAGATGACAATAAATCATGTATGGCTTTACTATACTCTGCTTTAACTTCAGGCTGACTTTCTAATTTTCTTTCAAGTGATATGAATCTATTGCGAGCGCAAAATGATGAGTCACCAAGAGGGGGATGATTTTCTTTTATGGGTAGCCTAACAAAGTAGCGTCCATCTGAATCCCTAGAAACCGTGTTTAGAAAGTGATGTTCACAAATTTCTTGTTCAGATGTTACATGAAGTTTGATGGGAGGTTCTTCTAGAGTCCAAAATTTCTGCAGAGAATTGTGCAAATCAATATCTCGAGTACTTAATAAAGAAGAAACATTACCCTTGCATTGAGGGGCTGTTTTGTGAGGGACTACAGCAGGAAGAGTTGGGGCAGATCCTATGATAAGATATCCAAATACAGAATTCATGGCAGCAGGAAGATCCTTGTTAATGATGATGCGTTCACCAGTGATCTCTTTAGCGAATAGATCAGCACCTATGAGCATATCTATCTTACTAGGCAGATGAAAAGTTGGATCAGCCAGGACCAAATGTTTGAAGTATTCTTTAACATTAACTGGAACTTCTGAGTGTGGGAGGTTTGAGGTTATTCTGTCTAGAATAAGGACTGGGTTGTTATCAGCAATCATTTCTCCGCTAAGAGACGATATGTTAACTTTTGACACGCCTTTAGATTTAACTTCTACTGATGATAGGCCATCTATCTTGGAATTACTGGAAAATGTCCGTTTGAGCATAAGCAGGTTAGCAATATTTTCTGTTACGCAGCTTACCATAGATGCAGAGTCAATAACGGCTCGGGCTACAACTGTGTTACCGTTATTAGCTTTCAAGTGGACCAATGCAGTGGCTAGCAATATAGTGGTATTAGGGTTTGAGGAGACAGCTACAAAGGGAGGTTCAGGGTGATCATATGTTTTATTCATTTCCTTGGGTGTTGGAGCATTATCTTTAGGCTTTTGATTAAGCTTATCATTAGGCCTATTATTAGTTTGATGTAAGAGGGAGTGATGTTTCAGTTTACAGTGAAAACATGTTTTATTTGACTTACAGTCTTTGACAGAATGAGCGGTACCTAAGCAGTTCAAACAGAGGTGATTTTTCCTCACAAAGTTGTATCTTTCCTGTACGGACAAATCTTTAAACTCTGAGCATTGGTAAATGTTGTGATCACTTTTACTACAAAATGTGCATGTGGCATTTGAGTCTCTGAAAGCTAGTAAAGTAGTGCGGTTTGGTGTAGACTTATGTAGGCCTATCTGAGAGGAGCGAGGGCTGGACCTCTTACTATTTTGAGTGAAACCTAAATTGATGCTATTGCTTGAAGTAGTTCTAGGAAACTGAGAGTTAGAGAGGTTAGCAGCTTCTAAGTAAGCACATTCATTTTCTAAAAATGTTATTACTTCACCTACGGTTGGAAGGTCTTGAGAATTTAGACGTAAGCTTTCAAACTTTTTGCGAATGTCTGCGTGTAATTTCCTTAGTAACATGGCTGAGAGCAAGATATTATCCTTGGCTATGTCATGATTGAGTGCAATGAGTGCTTGGGCATTTTCGTTATATTGAGAAATGAACGAGCGAATGTTCTTGAGGGAGGAGTCACTTAGGTTAGGTAAGTCTATTATGTTGTTGAGGTGTATGCTTATGATTTTCCTACTGTTTTGATACCGTTTTTGAAGAAGATCCCATGCTACATCATAATTTTCAGCTGTGATTGGTAAATTCTTTATAAGATTGAAAGGTTCTCCCTGTAGAGTAGAAAGCAGATATTGAAATCGCTCAACTTTAGATATGTTTTCAGTATCATGAACAGATACTTGAAACAGGCTTACATAAGCCAACCATTGTTCTGGTGAACCATTGAAAGTTTTGAGAGATAGAGGTGGGAGTTTTAGAGAGTGGCTATCTTGGTTTGAGGAAGAGCTACTAGGCCTATGGGGTAGGCTACTTGATGGAGTATTTGTTATTGAGTCAGTGTTTAGAACAGGCCTATGACTTGTAGGATCTTGAGAAAGGTGTTTCTTCGTGAGAGTTTGAATTCCTACATATAAGTCAGATATAGTATCTTGTAATTGAAAGAGTGTATCTTCTTCATAATCATCGGGAAGCGTGTCACTATTAAATAGTTTCTCAAGGGAGGTTTCAAATTCTGAGTATTTTCTAAGTGTTTCTGAATCTAAGAGTTTCAACTTATTTATTTGTTCTTGGGACAAATCAGGTAATCAATCTAAAGCTTGAATGTTAGTTTGGATTTTGGCTAAACGATTCGCAATTGAGTTTAATTGCCTAGAGAGGGTGACGAATTTCATTTTTGTTGTACAACAAAACAATTATTCTGAGTACTCAGAGAGAGAGAGATTAGAGATTGTCATTATTTTCTGCAATACGAGACACAGATAACAGATGGCATTGTTACATTAGTGCTAGTGGTTGCTATGAGCATTACAAAATACCAAATTGTACAGTTTGATACAAATTGAAATGTCAATTAATAAATTACAACAAAAACAATATGCATAAAATATAGAGGAATCAAAGTTTGAATCAAAGTCCTTTAGATATTGACCTTTTAGATCTACAGTAGTCTTGATAGTCTTCTTACTTCTTACTGATGAGAAAGGAGTGAGTAGTTCATTTTTAAGGTTGCAAGTTGGAGTTTGAGTAGAACTAATTGTGACTTATAGTTACCAAAAGAGCTGAGTTTCAGATGATCTGCGGCCGAAGGACCATGTAGAATTTCGGTAGCGTGTGGAGTGGACTGTATTTATAAGTTAAGCGGAGTTTGATTCTTCAAATTAGAACACTGAGATACAATTGACAAATATGTAGTTTTAATATTAACAAATAAACTTTCAATGATTTTACAGAACTTTAAAGAGAGATTACAAAAGAGAGAGGGATCTTGAGTCTTGATGTGTTTGTTTTTTTTCAACTAACAAAATTACTAATAAATTATTTCATTGTTAAATCACATATGTTGTTTTAAACATTAAAACAAATTAAAAACCAATGCCATCTGTATTTATTTTTAGTTGATAGAAAGCATTATTATAACAAAGTTAATTATACTGAATATTACTGAACAGTGATGATAGCTTACATCCAATCACTCCATATACCGTTGAGTTCCAGGGCACTCTGTAGGCCTACATCTCTGCTGAATGCTGGTTACTGATACTAGGTATGTAAAAGAGGTGTTTCAGAATCAATGTCTAAGAAATATATACAGTAGATCTAAACTATGTTTTAGGTACTATCGTAGTTTCATGTCGTTATATTTCCTCAGGAATGAATTTTCCAATAACACGAGGTGCGACCAGTTTATAAAAAGTAGATTGTTACTGATTGTAATTGGACATAAAATACAATCTGACTGACCAGTTCTAAGAACAAAACAAAAATTGTAGATCCAATAAATTATGTATTGAATAAATAAAAAATATATAATTATAAGAGTCTATAGAAGGGACGTCACTCTGGGGGTTTGTTCTTGTGAGAGCGTCTGTTCTTGCAGCGGTAGACGTCGCAGGAGTTAGCTGTGCCGGGGGTAGCGGTGGCGGCGGCGCGGAAGATGGACGTCAGACGCTCGGTGGCGGCGGTGGCGTCTATAGCCCTGCAACAGACAGTTTACAGATCAAGATTTTTTAGGCTTAAAAGGCAATGAAAATTATCTGGAATTGAAATTGAAGAGACGCATGCAGAGATATTTAATCATCGCACTTTTTACTTGGGTTCACTCAGGGTTTCAAGCAAATCCTACTCTGTGAAACTACTAAGTACTGTAGAATTAAGCTCGTATCTACAATTTATTGAATCTCGTGCAATTATTTGCGAAATACATTAGTTTTTGAGAGTTGTGTATTTGCATTGACTTTTGAATACTGTAGTAGACATCCCATCTCTATTGACCAACTTTGGCAATTCTTTGTTTAACAATAAACATAGTTGAATGAGCCACTCACAGAGTAAGATAGAGTCTAAAACTTATTCTAGCAAATTTCCCTATAGGGAAGTAGCTATTACCGTTGGTGGCACGGTAAGATCTAGGCAAGGGACCTATTTACTTTTTCTTTTTGATCTCCCCAAGGGCAAAAAACTAATTTGTATATATGTATGTATATATATATATATATAATCGGTTTATTTTTGCTCGAGTTATCGCGCTAACTAAATGTATATATATATATATATATATATATATTTATTTATTTATGTGTGTGTTAGCGCGATAACTCGAACAAAAATTATATTTTGATGAAATTTGGTACAAATGTGTAAACCTACGTTTATTCGAGTTCGCGAACCAGCATGATCGGACCATGGGAACGGGGTTTTACGGGGGATTATATGGGGTAAAAAATGGGTTTTCTCATTTTTGACCCTCAAACACAAAATTTCCCAGTTTCTCTCTAGACCTTTGTAAAGAGCTTAAAAACCCAAAATAATTTAGTATATCAAAGTGTTTCTGTATAGTAATTGGTAACAGAGACGATTCATGTTATTTTTTGAAGAATATTGTAAAATGTTGTAGTTTGCTTGTTTATGGATATATTTTGATCAAACTTGACAAATTTATTTATTTTATACTAAGCTATAATGTGTTTACTTAAACATGGGTACGACATGTCTAGTTCTATTTATATTAAAAGATATTTGCAATAAAAGTAAAATGATAGACGGGAACATGGTACTATTGTTGCTCAGGAATACAGGGTGGGGCATTAGCAGACCACCCGTGCACATATTTTTATGAAAACGCGAAATGAAATTATTCTCCCCTTATTATCACATACAAAGAATCCATTTACTAAATCATTTTACTACGACCGTTGTTTAAACTACCTGTTTCAGTTCAGTTCTTTAGAATAAAAAAGATTCAAATAACAGCATTGTTTACTTACTTTACATTCGACCGTTCCGTTGTTTAAACTAGCCTTTTCAGTCCAGTTCTTAGAATAGAAAAGATTCACAGCATTGTTTACTTACTTTACCCTCGACCGTTGTTTAAACTACCTGTTTCAGTTCAGTTCTTAGAATAGAAAAGATTCAAATATCAGAATTGTTTACTTACTTTACCTTCGAACGTTGTTAAAATTGGCTGTTTCAGTTCAGTTCTTGGAATAGAAAAGATTCACATTGTTCATAGCATTGTTTACTCACAAAACAGCATTTTTATCTTTTCTTTTTTCTTAACAACACAATGGACCAATGAGGTTCAAGGATTGAGAGAAAAGAAGTAAAATTATAATGCTTCAAACTTCAACTAATCAGCTATATTGTTGAGTGGTGCAATTAGTGTTTGGTACACTGAGAATAAACGAAAACATATCTCTCTTAGAAGTTATGAGTAGTGATTGTTAGTATTAAAAAACCGTCGTAGGTAAAGTAGTGTACGCAACTCGCGTAAATAGTCCTAACGACACTCGTAGAAATATCCGCTTTGGGTCCCCCTGAACCAAGACAAGTTTTTTTTTAGTGTGTGTATATATATATATATATACAGAGCTATGTACTACACTTATCATACGATTTAGATGAAATTTGGCAAATGGGTACTAATCTGTGGTATCTTCAGGCATTCTTTTAATTTGTTATGATATCAGATTGTTCCATAAAAGCCTATAAATAGCACAAGTAATTTTGGTCTGATTTTTAAGAAATTTCGCTTCTCAGTGTAGCAAAGAATGGATAAACTTGAATGAGTTTACGAACCAGCAAGATCAGGTTTGGGGAACAGAGTATTGGTATGGGTTTCAAAATTTCAAAATCTTTTCCCAAATTTTACCTTTAAAACAAATGGCAAATTTGTATTACATCCATCTTGTAGAGCTCAAAAAACAAATAATTTTGTATTTTGAAACTGTGTTGTAAAATTAAACATTACAAGATTGTCCCAAAAAAAATTTTAGTTTGCTTGTTTATGGAT